ACACTTAATTCCCACAGTCAGTTTAACTTAAACGCTATAATTCACAATGAACAATTCACGCACTTGACTCAATTGTCCGTCTTTATCTCTGTCTGCAATTCAATTCCATTGTTGCCGTCACTTCTTACCGGTCTTATATATATATACAAAAAGCGTACATCTCGTCTCTTCGTGAATCTTCTAGAAACTCATCACGTGACTTCCGCTGTCGTAACAGTAAGAATCAACAATATATGTATGTAAGTAAACGCTTAAATATAGCTCAGTATTGTTACGTAAAACTGAAATTTCTAGAAAGCCTCCAAACGCCTATAAATATAACCAACGCGAAGCGCCAAGAGAGTAAGTATCTATTATTAGTTTACTATAGCCACTATGCTATAAACTTTGGAAGCTATAACTGTGATTGTTATAACGTTTATTAATCGGAAAACTTCAGATATTTGACCAGGAATATTTATAAATTTTTAATATTACAAACCCTTTAACTTCAGTAGATTCACATTGGACATTAATATTTTTACGAAAACATTACCTAACGTCATCGGTGGAAACTCAATCTCTAATGGGCGTATGAACAGTTAAGACTACAGGGCTAGCTATCTCCCTGTTAACTGAATTGTGCCTACGTCAACTCGAAATTAACTCGCTCATCGTGAGCTCTCGATAAGATATTAAGGAAGTTCCAGACTAGAAAGAAGGCTTTATGTTGCTTGTAAGTTTGTGAAACCTTTGTTTATAAATCATTGTTTGTAATAATTGTTATTGTTGTATGTATATTAAAACGTATTTGTGTTAAAAAGAAAACTGTGTGTATCAATCTAGTTGCCAAATATCATAAACTGACTATAAATTAGCGTTTACTTAACTACTAAATCCAAAGTATAATTTAACTACTAAATTTAAAGTATCATTTAGCTTGGTTTCAGACCATTTGAAATTCTAGTATGTAACGCATCATATTACCATGTGTATATTAATAGTGTTACGAAGACGCGTAAACATTGAACTGATATTAATGCACTAAACAATTTATAGTATTAATTACATTTGAGAGCCATTATCTGAAAAATAGTTCTTATTGACACAATAAACCGTGTTGTTACACAAACATAGTCATAAAAGTTAAGTCTACAGAAATCGACGTTTGAGAGAGTTTTATTACTTTTTCATAAGTAATTATTATTATAAACACACTGAAAGGAGCTCTAAAAAGTTAAAAAATATGAGAAGCAGTTGCCGTCCCTCTGGTGGATCAGCGAAAAATTTACGGACATGCAACATACAAACCGGGTTTGATTCCTCAGCGGTGGACAGAATATTTTCTTTTTCAAACAAACGAACAAGACCCAGTGGTCAGAGTGCCTGTCTGTAGATCAACGGTTCGCGTTAAGTTAATGCCAAATAAAAAAATAAATAGCGCTTCGCAATTTGGGGCCGTGGATGCGTTATGAGAATGACGGTCAAATCTCTCTATTCCATTTGAGTAACTGACGAGTTGGCGGTGGGTGATGTTGACTATCTGCATACCATCTATTACTTCAAAGATGCTGACAGCTAACTCTCAGATAGCTTTCCGTGAAACCCAATATAAAAGCTACAGTTCTCCAAAGTGGGCAGCGCAATTAATGAAACCAGTAGGCCTAATTAATGTATGTAATAAGCAGTTTCTGTCTTCCTGTCACACTCGTTTTTTGGTAATGCTCAAAAATATACATCGTTGCTCAGCAACAAAACTATCACCTGATATTGTTTTTAGGCCAACTATGGTGTTTATGTTGAATGCTTAATATACATGTAGATTTGTTAGAAAAGTTTATTTTTATTCTGTATCTTTTGATAACTTCGATGATGTAACAACAAAATAGTTTAATTCAGAAATGATTTAAATTTAAAACTGATATTTTTTCTTTCATGAGACGTTTTATGGGCTTGGGCCTAGGGTAAGTTATTGCGCACTTCGTCATTACTTTAGGCTTAATTACAAAACAAGAAGTACTTTAGGCTCCCTTATTGCATCGTGATAAGTAAAATAACAATTTATTTATATTTTTCTGTTGTTTAATGAACATCTAAGTTTTTACATCGAGCTGTAGCCAAAATCAAAATATATTTTACCAAGGATTTCAATGAAGTAGTGTTTCAGGTAAGCCTTACGTTTATGTATCAAGTCTAATGCTTAAGTTAGATTACAAATAGATCTACTATTACTAACGTTAGTCAGATAATGTTTAGTTACATGTTTATGCGTATAAGTGGGAACGCATAGTATTTAAATTACACAATTAAAGAAATTAATATTTCTTTAGTATTTACATTATTACAACATGAATAGGAATGTAAAAACGTATAAAATGTTTTATTATGCAGCAATAACTAAAATGCTGACATTTTTCTAATTTCTATTAGGACGCTTTTTATCATTAGAAATAACCTGTAAACATTGTCAATGTTGTGTATAAAGAAATATTACGAAACAAAAATGTGATTTTTAATGTGAATAAAATTGTTGTTAGTTAATTTATAGCAATCGTTAAAAAGTTTTTTGACGGGCTTTTCACTAGTAATAGTAATAAAAATCTCACCTTAGACTTCTTTTCATTCGCCTTAATTAGTATATTACGGATTTCAGACTAGAGGCGTTTAAAAAATACCATTTTAAATTATTTTGTTTTGTCTGCCACATGTGAATTGAAGTTCTGGTGTTCAATATCAAAATTTATAATGTGGTATTAAGCAGAAGATAAAATACAGATATAACAGCCCCCCCCCCACCCCAACTAGTGGCTCAGCGGTAATCTTGAGGGTTTATACCTTAAAAATCTGGGTTCGATTGCAGTCTAGTCTAGTGTGATTTTTTATCTCTATTATTAGGTTTGTGCACGTTTGTTTCTTTAATAAGCCTGATGGCCTCAGATGACGCTCTAATACAAAAATTCATGCAAACGATTTGGGTAGTCTTACTTATTCAAATAGTTTCTGTTAACCGTGAAACATAAATTAGTTTTTATTTTGGTTATGACGTCTCTTTTACGGTTTGTTGTTTAATTATTATTCATATGCAATTTAAGGTTCTGTAAACCACAACAATATGTTTTTATGTCATTGTTGTAATATGTATATATTGCTTAACAACGAATGGAGAGGCAACGTGAATAGGGGTTTTAATGGGAACCCATATTATATTTTAAACCATGGGTTTCTTGATTTCCAGGAAATATGTAATAGCACAAGAAAGGAAAGACCCACCACATACATTTAACAACCGCCTTTTTAAGCCCTTAAACTTTGAGTCCGACTCAAGTCTGAATATGTTTAAAACATGTGAAGTTCGATCAAACCTTAAAAACAATAAGACAGTTACTCAAGCTCGCCGAAGTCGCTGGAGGTGTATTTTTCGTCGATCCGATTACAGCATAATGGCAACTAAAGGATATCTATTAGGTAAAACATTAGGCTCTGGTCAATTTGCGAAGGTAGGCTTCATTTCCGGGACAGTATTGTCAGTTTTGTTTGATAAAACATTACTTTTAAAATAATATATTGTAGGAAAAATGCAACGTTTATAGACTGTGTTTCTATCTAAGTAAAATCTTTTATCCAGCTTAAACTAGTTTACGGCTGTAAGCTTTGCTACAATGTGTACTACACAATCTGTAAGGTCAAGATGAAACGGTACAGATGTAAATTATCGCGAAATTCTCATGAAATTTTAATTCAAAAACAGTTCCATATGCAGTGACGGTAGTTCACGAAACGTAAGACAATAAAGAAAAAAGGCTTAGAATAGCTACGCTAAGTATGTATAAAAAAATAATATTTTTGTAGATGTAAAAACACATCTTCGTCGCCAAAATCGTGAAGTTGGATTGCAGGACAAAAGATGAGGCTTATCACCTCGCCACTCAAAAGTATTGGAGCATGTTAAGTGTTTGTGCAAAAAAGCAAAATTATAGTATAAACTATAAACAACTTGTATCCAGCTTTTCTGAATGAATATCAGTTTTATTTATTTATGGCGAAAACTTAGAGAAAGGTATATTACATTGCTTTCAAAAGCGAATCAACTGTCTCAAAAATTAATAATTTAACGTAACTTCAAAAAAATAAATAAATTAAAGTTTCTTAATAGGTTAGGATCAACCAGCAAAAACGAGTTCTGTTTACATTATATTAAAGCATATTGACAATAAAGTTAGAGGGGTGGTGGAATGACCTTTACTGTCCAGCTAATAATAATAATACATTTTTTTTCTCTATATCGGGAGAGTAAAGCTCGTTCTGTTTGTATCTAACTTTATTGTCAAAATGTATAAATCCCTCCAGTATGCACATACAATTCTGAAAAACAAGAATATGTTAAAACGTATTTCTAATATTTTTGGTTTGACAAATGAAGCATTGTTATTGTAATTAACAGTTTGTTTGTTGTGATGGGTTGAAAGGTTTACCAGAATTCTTTTCTGCAGTTGGATTTAATCAGGGTGGGTCATGCACCCACCAAATTTCACTTTAGTCCACAAGAGTTCATCCTCCCTATCGTTATATAAAAAAATCATACTATCAAACATGTTTGCTTTTTTACCGTTCTTGTAAATCGATATCACTATATGGTGGCCCCAACAAAAGCTCCACCCCCCAAGGATTGTTTCGTTTGTTTTGAATTTCGTTCAAAGCTACACGAGGGCTACCTGCGCTAGCCATCCCTAATTTAGCAGTGAAAGACAAGAGGGAAGGCAGCTAGTCAACACCATCAACCGTCAACTCTTGGGATACTCTTTTACCAAGTAATAGTGGGATTGACCGTCACATTACAACGCCCCCACAGCTGAGCATGTTTGGTGAGACGGGGATTCGAACTCGCGACCCTCAGATTGCAAGTCAAGTGCCCTAACCCCTTGGTCATGCCCCCCCCCCCAAGGAAGAGGAACTAGAGTCGGGCCTGATTTTAATTAGAAATGACTTGCCCCCCCCCCCAGTGGCACAGCAGTATGTCTGCGGATTTACAACGCTAGAAACCGGGTTTCGATACCCGTGGTGGGCAGAGCACAGATAGCCCATTGTGTAGCTTTGTGCTTAATTCCAAACAAACAAATGACTTGAAATAACTTTTCTTAAGTAACTAGAAATATAATATTAATACATCTTGTTGACCGAGAAATAGGTATGTAACTTAATAACAAGTTAAATGACATGCGTGATTGTGTATCGTAAGTTCAAAATAAATAATGATTATTAGGTTCGCTTTACTATATTGTGGATAAAAAATATATATTAATGAACAAAACAGGCCCAAACAAACAAAAAAGAAATTGAAGACACTGCATGAATTAAAAGGATCGGGGGCCATGGCCCCACACGAAGGTAAAAAAAAATATCATGATGATTTTAGCCCACAAACAGGAGGTTTCTTAGCATGATATCTTACAATGTGAAGTAATTTTCGAACCCCCACTCTCGAATGTTTAGCATTGGGAGTATACGAGAGCATTTTGGAGTGATTTTTAGGCGCATTTCTCTATTCCAGGTGACATAAAAGCGCAGAGCTTTCGGGAACGTCGCTTCTGGATCCCACGCCTTACATGTTCGCTTTCGGCGCCATCTCTCCAAAAATTTGCCCCCCCCCCTCAACATTGACTCTGGATTCGCCAGGATACAGGCTATAATGTGGGATATAAAATATGACCTGGGTTTTGGAGATGACTGCAGAAGAAGAACTCACATTGCGGTGGGGATACACCGTCTATCAGTCTTAACCCCCGTTCGCCAGTCTCACATATTGAAGAAAACAAAATAATCAACGTAGTAATAATCAAACAAAATCATCAAAAAAGTACACCTTGCTCTCCTAACTTATGGGTGCTCAAGCCAACAACGTCCCACATCTATATCACCCTTCACTGTCTGTAAGTTAGGAGAGCAAGGTGTGGGTGCTCAAGCCAACAACGTCCCACATCTACATCACCCTTCACTGTCTGAAGACGGTTGTGGGAAGGTTACTGCTCTCCAAAGTAATAAAAGAAAGTTCGTATGTAAAAGAGTAGCCCAAGAGTTGGCGGTGGGTGGTGATGACTAGCTGCCTTCCCTCTAGCCTTAAATTAGGGATGGCTAGCGCTGATAGCCCTCGTGTAGCTTTGCGCGAAATTAAAAACAAACAAACAAACAATAAAAGAAAGGAAAACGAAACTAAGTTTCTACCACTAGAGGGGGTTGACAAACTGGCGAACGGAGGTTAAGACCGCAATGTGGACTCTACTTCCGCAGTCACTTCCAAAATTTAGGGCACATTGTATATCCCACATTATAGCATGTATTGTGTGGAGCCTTTTAATTTATGCAGTGTCTTTAACGTAGTTTTTTTTGTTTGCGCCTGTTTTGTTCATTAAAATGTCTTTTAACGCACTCCTTCCTTTTAAAATTGCCTCCCAGCGGCATGTCTTCTGACTTATACCTCTAGAAACCGGGTTTCGATACCCGTGGTGAGCAGAGCACAGATGGCCCTTTGTGTAGCTTTGTGTTTAATTTCAAACAAACAAGCCTATTAATGTTATTTTCTGCTTGACTGTTTAAATACTAATTTCCTATATATATATATACTATCGATCGTGCAAAGTATTTCTCCATTCAGCATTTAGAGCTTGTAAATAAATTCAGAAATATGATTTTAATATTTAGAAATATCTTTCTGTAATCAAATTTAACTACAAGATCATATACGTATAATCTGATATCCTGATTTTCTCAAACAATTTTGTTACATATATGTACACTAGATGGCACTGCAAACAACATATGAGTTTATTGCCAATTACCGTGGCAAAACGAGGAAATACATTCCCTACAAAAATAATTAAAAATAAGTAAAAAATACTGTCAACTGCAAAAAGCTGTAGATACCAAGCAGTTTAGCTTTCGGCAACCTTACTAAGTTAAATCATATCTTGATATCTTCAGCTAAAGTAGTATCTGTTGAAATACACTCGTCTATGTTTTTATTGATCAAATGTGAAAGCAGACACTCACAAAACACAAAAACGATGGGTTTTTTAAAGTTTTAAAATGAAGCATATTACCCGTGATCAAGTAACCTTCGACATGACAAAGTTAAACCTACTCCATGGCAGCAAATTGTTTTGGGTAAACACAATGACCTTAACAGAAATTCTTGGTAATGAAATGCTTTCAGTAAATGCATGCTGACAGTTCTGAGGTATAATTAAATTAAACTATTTAGTGAAACATTAGAAAGCTCAGGGGCATAAATGTGGTCCCTAAAGTATGCAGAAAGAAGGATACTTATTTTATGTTCTACCAGAAGCTACTCTATGACCTAATACTGTTGCTACTTAAATGCGAGTGAGAATAGTCAATCCCTGTGTAAGTTACACTTATGAGATAAATAATTTAGAAAAAAGTTCAAATTAATGTTAAGGAAGGGGAAGAAAAAATACAAAGTGCTCTTGTGTATATTAAAATGTATTTCAGAGTTAAGGATGAAACACACACACACACAACAACTTGACACAATGGTAATTTCAATTGAAGTGGACAATTAAAATTAATCTTGTGTATGGCTTTTCAATCACTTGGAAATAAACTGATACAGTGGTGATGCCATCATTAAATCTCTTCATGCTTCTATTTTTTTCTTTTTTACACCTTTACGTTTTCCATATGAGACTGTCTGCTTCCCGGGATTAAAAAAAAGATGCACATGGTCGCTAGGTTCATCATCTTTTGCTGATTTAACCCTAATCTTCTTGTGGTTGATCCCATAAGCTTTCTTTCAGAATGTGTGCAAGGACCACGAAGATCAATACTGTCACAGATGTCCTCGCGCGTCAGGATAAAACCTAGGTATTTAGTTGACGCTTTTCTAAAAAAATCCTATCATGCAAGATTCATCATTCGAGAAAAGTTTTTGTACAAAAAAATATGTGATGGCACAGAAAATTTAAGTATGCATAAAATGTTCAACTTTATTCAAAATATTTGCCTCCACTGCCTTTCAAAGAAACAACTTCAGTTGTTTCTGAAATTAAAGTTTGTTTAATAAAGGACATTTACTTAGATAGTTTTTGGATATAAATGTACATGTTTACCACTATAAACGTAATTACATTTCAAGGCAGAAAATTGAAAAATATAATTATTTTTGACATTTCGCTTTGAAATGTAATTATAAATGTGGCTGTTTAAATGTGACTATACAAAATTATTTCCCAACTTCGATTTTTGCTTTGTGTGTGTGTTTATTTCACTATGCAATAATAATCTATATAAATATAATAGTGCTGTCTGTTGTATGTCCATGTAACTACTTCTATATAAATATAATAGTACTGTCTGTTGTATGTCCATGTAACTACTTCTATATAAATATAATAGTACTGTCTGTTGTATGTCCATGTAACTACTTCTATATACTGTAAGTATAATAGTACTGTCTGTTGTATGTCCATATAACTACTTTGCCGGGTGTGGATGGATTTTCACAAAAATTGGTATGGAGGTTAATTGGGTCCATGCGGGGGCACATACAAATTTTCAGTTTTGCGGTTTTTATGGGTGTTTTTGCAGTTTTTACCATTACGTTGCCCCATATGGATGGATTTTCACCAAATGTGGTATGGAGATTCATTGGGTCCATGGGCTGAAATGTACAAGTTTTCAGTGTTGCATTCGCGGTTTTTATGAGCGTTTTTTACCACTACTTCGCCCCCTGTTGATAGATCTTCACCAAATTTAGCATGTATTTTTTGTTGGGTCCATGCGGAGATACATGCAAAACTTGCGGTTTCACATTTTGTGTTTTGCAGTTCTTATGGG